AGCTATTCCGGCGCCCATGACGATTGCTAACAACGACGAGGTGCTTTCGTAGCAGCGCCCTTCGGAGGTCTTCTTTGGGCTTTTGCTGCTTGCGCTCTCCGCATCGGGTTCCTCTGGATCAAGGCCAAGTTTCAGGGTCGTCGCTTCGACGCGTTTGACCGACCTCTTCCACGAAACATCGATAGACCTGGTGCTTTCGACGAGCACGATGGTGAGGCTGTGGTTGAGCATAGCAGCATCGAGAATGGCAGCAACGGGAAGTTCTTTTAAGACCGTGCAGATGTGGAGGGTAAAAGTGAGTAAGGGAGTGCATGTGCGAAGTCAGGATGACCAAACAGATGTAAATAATCGGGTTTTGCATTCTTGACATGTACCATACATAAGAGGGAATGAAAGAGGCAGCAAAGGGTGTTGGTCAAACCACGGAGAAGTTGGACATTCGAGCTCGTGGTAACAAGTACGGGGAAAGATTATGATCAAGTACGCGGTGGGAATCTATACGGATGAGTCGGATCGTATTTTACTCTCACATGTAGTGGAGAATGCCTCTAAATACAGCGTGCTTGCTACATACAAAAAGAAATGATGGCAGATATCTGTAACCGAGATGGAGGAGCTAAGACGCAGCTTCCAGAAGAGACACGGGTGGCGTCGCGTGGAGCTGAGGTGGGGGCGGGGCAGCTTGGCAGGGTCCATGACGGAGCTTCGCGCTGTTGGAAATATCTGACGTTCCAGGCACCAGACGTCTAGAAGAAACGTTTGTTACCACCCACCTGCACTTTGCACACTCTACCGAATCTTCCCAACAGGCATTTCCTCCACACCACCATCATGCAGATGCCAGACATGCCCGTCAACGTCCCAATCGACGACCCCAACGCCGACACGGAATGGTGAGTCAAACCACCATCAGGTGATGGCGAAAGACACAGTACTGAAACTAGCGCGTCAGGAACGATATTCTCAGGAAACATGGCGTCATCCCCGAGAAGCCGCCATCGCCGACACCCATGATTCAGGAGGCGCTTGAGCAGGCTCGCGAACTCGCACACGAGAACCGTTTAGAGGGCAAAGACATGGACGAGCTGGCCGAGCTAGAGGATGAAGAAGACGACGACTTTCTCGACTCGTACCGTCAAAAGCGCATGGCCGAGCTTGCATCGATAAATACCGCCTCGGTGTACAACCAAGTCTATCATATTCAGAAACCCGACTACTCTTCCGACGTTACCGAAGAGAGCAAAAAGGCACATGTGCTGGTCTTGTTGACAAGTTCAACAGGCACAAACACCGAGTCAAGAGTCATGATTGAGCATTGGAGGGAGTTGGCAAAGAGATTTGGCGATGTCAAGTTTTGCCAGATGAGGGCGGATCTTTGCATCGAGGGGTACCCGGATAAGAACACGCCGACGGTGCTGATCTACAAGGACGGGGATATCAAGAGGCAGATTGTTACGCTGATGCAATTGAAGGGACCGAGGACAAGTGTACAGGGTGGGTCGCGTCCCTCAACTCCTGACGGCAGTCCTGCATTACGGTGTGCTAACTTGCTATGACAGATCTGGAAAGGCTTCTCGTTGATGTTGGCGCCGTCAAACTAGGAGACTCGCGCCTCCAGAAGAAGAGAGACGACGAGGACGCCAACCCTAGCAGGATAAGACAAGGCAACACCGCAGGAGACGATGACGATAGCGACTGGGACTGAAGGCGTACTGATAGGGTAATGTGACGGCTTATTGCCTGGTAGGGTTGTTGACGTCCACGACGTCGACCTCAAAGCTGTCTCCCGGAGACTTGCTTTGTACGCGCCGTACGAGGAACGTCTGGCATTGAGACATGTGTTGGCTTTCCAGGCAGTAGTTGACGATGGCGGATGCTCGCTTCGCATGGACGTATCAGATACTATGGCGCCTCGATCGGTGTTGAGTAGATACATTCTGGTCGTGGACTGACCCCTTACTGGCAGACTTGTTCTACGCTGCTGGTTTGAGGTACGAGCGTTGAAGATGGGGAGTCATGTTCTCCGGACACGGGAGTGTTGGTGGTGAACAAGTCAAGATGAAGAAATTTGGATTTCTGAGAGTCGACTTGCTACGTGGCAGGCTGTGGCATGGGCAAACAAGCACATGGCGGAATAGAATTCTCGCCTTATCTAAAAAAAAAGTGTGTTCTCTCATCGCCATCTGTCCAACACTGGAGCGCCCGTCTTGTGGGAAAGCTCGTGCAGCCACCGGACGCCGAGCGCCCAAGGCCCAGAACGCAAAGCCAGCGTGGCAGCGCAGAAGAATAGTAAAAGACGCAAGGGGTATGGAGGCAGCAATCATATGAGCTCATCGCCGCCGCAACGGCGCGACTCGTCGACTGCTCGCCAGATGGTGCTCTCTTCAAAGACGGGGCCGTGGCCGTCACACTTGGCGGAGCCTTTCAGGCGCTCGCACACGTCGGCCACGTCAACCAGACCCTGCTTGACGAGCGGATGTTGCTGGATGAGGTCCCAGGCCTGGGCAGCGGGGACCTCTTTCGCCCCGGCGCGGGTGCGTGGATGCTCCTTCGCGGCCGTGTTCACGACGGTGGCGTTGGTCAGGGACTCGACACGGTAGGCCGTGGCTGTTTCTTCGTCGTCGTCGCCGTCGTGGCCATGGTCGTGGACGGGCAGATAGGCGCCCGGCGAGGGGTACGTGGCGGAGAGGGGGCGCGAGGCCGAGGGGGAGCGGCGGGTGGTGGCGCGCAGGATGTCGTTCTCGGTGCGGGCGCGGTCGAGGGCGGCCTTGAGGCGGTCGTTGTCGGACTGCAGCGAGTGGGTGCTGGACTCGAGGGCCGAGAGCTTCGTCTCGAGCTCCTTGACGTGGCGCTCCTTGCGCTCGCGGAAGGCGCGCTGGCTGGAGAGGCATGAGCACGGGGGCGCTGGATGGGGGACGGGGGCGGGACACGTACGCTGCCCTGTTCTGAGCCTTGCGCCTGCTCTGCGCCGGCGTCAGGCTGTCCTTCTCCTCGCTGCTGCTGCGCGCCTGCTGTGGCTGGCCGTCGTCGAGGTCCGCGCCGAGCCCCGAGTCTACGCTGTCGTCTGTCGCGCCAAAGTACGCGTGGGCCATGGCTGCTCGATGTTGCTGCGTGCAGCGTCTGCTAAGTACTGCCTCGACGCACCGCCTGCAGTCTCACACACGCAGCCCCTCGGCACTGTCAGCACCAGCCCCCGTCGCTCGCCGCAGCACCCATCGTCCTCGACGCCTTCACCTCCGACAGCAGCCCGTACGCCCGCGTTTACACGTCGGGATTGGGCGCCGCCAAGGCTTTCCGAGCTGCCGGGGGGTCACGCCAAGCCAGCGAGAATTTGCATCTAATCTTATCAATCAGCTGTCCCGAGCCGCACTATGCTCCACCTAGCACCGAGAAGCTGTCCGTTTGCTTGTACAGTAGTAACGCGTTCCGCACTGGGAAATCACATGAAATATGCAGCCCGCATTCTTTTCACCTGCCGCCCGGCGCTGGTAAATAACCGTTGTTGCACATTATCTCCTCGCAACACTTGTGCCGACCAATCCACCAACCACCATGTCGCTTCACCACAACTTGGACGTTGGCAAAACTGCGCTATTCAACACAACCGCGACCGGCGCCGATCTAGCCTCCCCCACCGCATTACCAGACGCAAAGTCTCCGGGTGTCGCACGCATCGAAGCCCTCAACGCGCACACGTCCTTCATCAACCGCTGCTGCATCTTCTTCGGCATCTTCCTCATCGCGTATGCGTATGGTTTGGATGGGACGCTCCGATACACCTACCAGCCATATGCCACTGCGGGATTCCAACAGCATTCCACCTTGGCTACCATTAGTATGTCTGGTGAAATCTGTAGTCATTCCGAGTCACCAACGCTAACATTGACCAAGATGTCTTGAGGAGCGTCATCGCCGCTGCTGCGCAGGTAAGTCTTAGAGTCTGCTACCACGTATAAACCCATGCTCACTGTGTGCTCAACAGCCTACTGCGGCTAAGATTGGTAAGTTGAGTCTTCACACCGATCAAGATATGAGAAACTAACTCGATGGTCACAGCCGATGTCTTTGGCCGCATAGAAGTCGTCATACTCTCCATGCTCTTTTACATCATCGGTATGCACACACCAAACTGGGAGCTTAGCGTTGTGCTCTGGCAGTCGTACTAACACGACCAAAGGTACCGTCATTGAATCCGTCAGTTCAAATGTCGAGTCCTTCGCCGCAGGCGCAGTCTTTTACCAAGTGCGTGCTGCAACAACGCCAAACGGACAAGACCAATACTAACGGGTATCCTACAGATTGGCTACACGACCATCATCGTGCTCATCGAAATCATCATAGCCGACATCACCTCCCTTCGATCTCGACTCTTCTTCTCATACATACCTGCCGTTCCATTTTTGGTAAGCAATATAACCGTACGCTCCGGTTTAGCTTGTTTCTGATGTTCGGTAGATCAATACTTGGGTCAGCGGCGATGTAAGTCAAGCTGTGCTTAGTCAGACCACTTGGCGATGGGGGGTAGGCATGTGGTGCATCATATACACAGTGTGTTGCATCCCTCTAGTCGCTTCGCTCATGTGGTCCAGCCGACAAGCTAAAAGGGCCGGCGCATTCGATGCATACCAAACACCATACGAAGTTCATGGCGGTACCAGGAATTTGCTAGTCACTCTCTTTTGGCAAATGGACGTCCCCGGCGTCGTGCTGCTTATTGCGGTATTCGGCTGCATTCTGACTGTAAGTCGGCATGTGTTTGCACCAGACGAGATTCCGATTTGCTGACCAACCACGAGCCTCTCACCATCGCAGGTGGCGCGCAATCGCAATGGGGGACTGCCAAAGTCATTGCTCCTCTTATCATCGGCTTCATGTGCCTCCCCGCCTTTGTCCTCTGGGAACGCAGAGCACCTCATCCAATGCTCCCGTTCCATCTACTGAAGGATCGTGCGGTTTGGGGTGCTTTAGGTATTGCTTGCACTTTGAACTTTGCATGGACCATGCAAGGCGACTTCCTGTACACTGTACTAGTCGTCGCATTTGATGAATCAGTAAAGAGCGCAACTCGCATCAGCTCTTTGTACAGTTTCTCCTCGGTAATCACCGGATTGATCCTTGGTGGTGTTGTATTCAAGGTCCGCCGCTTGAAACCTTTCATCGTCGCCGGAACTTGTCTTTTCGTGGTAGCTTTTGGTCTTCTAATTTACTACCGTGGCGGCTCTGGCGATTCGTTGCATTCCGGCATCATCGGAGCGCAGATATGCTTGGGCATTGCAGGAGGCATGTTTCCATATCCTGCACAAGCCAGTATCCAAGCTGCTACAAAACACGAGCGTAAGTTTCTTCCATGGCAACTCACGCTAGTTGAAGCGACAATACTAACTACCCAAAACAGACGTCGCAATCGTAACGGGCATTTATCTCGCTACCTACAACATTGGCAGCGCGCTTGGTAATACAGTCTCAGGTGCTATGTGGCAGCAGATCATCCCAAATGAGTTGGCCCGTCGCATTGGCGATCCCTCGCTCGCAGCCGTCGCGTATGGTGATCCGTTTGCATTTGCAACTCTATACCCAGTGCAAACCCCAGAGCGTATCGCTGTGATACAGGCATACAGACACGTGCAAAAATTACTCTGCATCACGGGTATATGTCTTGCAGTACTTCTTGTCGCTTTCTCGCTGGTCATCCGGAACCCGGAGTTGGGCAAGGACCAGAGCCTGAAGCATGCTGAGGAGGATGCAGAAGTCAATTGCTCGGATAGTAGGTCCTAGTGTTGAAGTTTAGCACATGTTACACGCTAGAGTCAGTACCGACTGATCTTGTTGCATATACGAGGGTCCAGGTGGTGGTGGAGCAGACTGACATCATCGTCGTCTACGGATACTACCGAGCTGTTGAGCTTCTACTATAAAACAACAAAGAGACAGATGATTTGGAATTACCTCTAGCCCATCGGTGAATCTACATCGTTTACTCGTATGCCACAATGTTACTGCGAATATACAGGTCCGAGGTCACTCGCGAAGAGACTTCAGCCTTGAGCGCGAAGCCCAGAAGACAGAAAGCTACTTGTGAGATGAAAGGCGACCAAGAGCCTGATGCAGCCCAACCAAACACGATCTCGAGTCCCCGACACATAGCAGCCCGCCTCTCGATCACATCCACGACAAACCGCCGCCCCCTGTTAACGACATGTGTATGGTGCCCGGCGAACACGAGACATCAAAAATCACAGCAGAAACGAGTTTGCGAGGCGCACCACGATCGATGTCGCTTTGGCTGTGGTCGGAGCGACGATGAACGCCCATGCCTTTGTGCGCACACTTGGGACGATCCGAGCGACCAAGATCCCTCACGTGCATTCCGACGCCGGGTTGACCTCAAGGAATCCAAGATAGCTTGGTAGCACAAGCTTCATTGCGACTCAGTTCTAACCCGCCGAAGATCGTGGGGCTCCTGCGGGCTGTTGGGCCGTGCGTATCACGCAGGCTGCAAGAGTGCTGTCCCGGCCAATGAATCCTCCCTACGGCGTCTACCATGTTGCAACGCCTGTATTGTCAACAGCCTGGTCGAGAAAAATGCGCAAAGCAGCCAGAAACTTTGATCGCGGGGTCTTGCAAATATCTGCTTGGGCATGGACGCGTACCTAGACAACGACTTCTTCGGGACCTCGGGAGCCTCCGACTTCGGCAGTGCGCTTCGCAGAGTGCGGCTGCATCTTTGGTTTGTGCGAAAAGCTCAGGAGCATTTGGATGAACAGCACGTCCTCACAATATGCATTCGCTTCTTCTACGGCAAGGATTTGTCATCGCTGCCTCAGTTGTTGGATCATGCCACTCCGCTACCAGGTTGTTCGGGCGTTCGGTCTAAAAAGAAAAACCGAAGTCTCCCGTATCCCGGACATCAGTTTCGCCGCCGTGTGTATGAGGGCCTGCCAGATACCGCCACGAACCTGGTTACGGAAGGTCGATAAGCATTGGTGTCGTATCCACGGTTGTGCTAATTGCGACGGCAGCACATCGCGCCATCACGGCGCCACGAAAAGCATGCATGACATCGCTCAGGGCCGAAAACGACATGCGCATGTCGGATCTTCAACCGAATGTATGCTACCAGCAAGTGACAACTCTGCTGCTAGGTTGAATCCTTACGGTTTACCTTCTGCCTTCAGAATCCGTTATCTGTTGACCCAATACCGGAGCACAAGCAGAGAACAGATCGTCCAAGAGTGTCAGTCACTTGGCTCGAATCAGCTGCTTTGAGCTGGCTGGAGACATTGCATAACGCATCTTATGTGCAAGCAGGTATGATCTGAACTATGCGTGAATTGTGTGGTAAGATATTCTAGACGAGACAGCCAAAGCTCCCAAGATACCTCGACATGCGCGTCACCTGAAGCTTTGCTCTCATACCCATCTTCCACCCCTAGTCTCTGGCTATGGCTTCCGGTCTGCCTCTCGAGCCGTGACTATGAGTGGCGGCTTCAGCCAGAAAGAGTATGTTTGTTGATCCATCCAGTCATCACAGCTTTCGTTGAGCTCGAAGTCGAAGTCCCACAACAAGTGGCCCAAGGCAAGCCTCAACTCATAGTGTGCCAGACTGTAGGCGGAATTAGGCCTCTGCATAAAGGTGACCAGGGTAGTGGACTTACTTTCTTCCAAGGCAGGCGCGTGGACCGACTGAGAAAGGGTTGAACGCGTTCTTGTCGTCCTTCTCAAACTCCACGGAGCCTTCAGGCAACCATCTCTCTGGAGCGAAATCGTCTGGTCGGACGAAGTTTCTCGAGGAGTGAAACATCGGATAGTGGAGTATAAACACCGTGGCGCCCTTCGGAACATACTTGCCACAAATCTGCATACCGGCTGCTGGTACCAACCTCGCCAACGTCTCCGGAGCGCCAGGGTAGACTCGCATGGCTTCGTCTAGAACTGCGCTCATGTACGCCAACCTCGGCAGTGCCTCTATTGTCATCGCGTCTTTCGACTTGAAACTGTCATAGATCTCTTGCTTCAATCTCATCATGCAGTGGGGATTCTTCAAAAGTAAATATAGCGTTCCCGAAAGCACTGTTGCCGTAGTTTCTGACCCTACCACCATGAAGAGAGCGGCATTGCCGACCATTTGATCCAGAGAGAGGCTCGCTTTCTTTCCGCCGGGTCCACCGGTGATCAGACCCCAGAGATCTGGACGATCGGTCTTTCTTTCCAATCTTTCCTTCACACGATCTTCGGCGAACTTCATGTGCGCATCTCGCTTTGCCTTCATCGATTTCGGGACCAAGAGCGGCAGGATCTTTGACGCAAAAGGAACGTGGTAAAATACCACGATGCGGATAGTGACTACTTTGATCGTTGCAACTATCACACGAACCCAGCTGTTGTATTCTGATCGCTCCAATAGACCAAGAGAGGTGCCGAAAGCTAGATCACCCATAACGTCGAAGGCTAAGAAGTTGAACATGTCTACCATGTTTGTCTCGAGACCCTGATCAGCGCGCGACTGGACGGCTGCTGTCAATCTGTTGACGTGCTTGAGCAACAAGGGCTCCTGCTCCTTCAGTGCCCGGGTGGAAAACCCTTGATTGAAGAGTTGGCGTTGTTCTCGATGCTTCTCGTCATCCAGCACGTCGATGATGCCCGGCTCTCCCGACATAGGTGGAGGGTTAGCAAGAGGGTTTTTTGGCAGCGGCTTGCGAGATGTGTAGGTGCCTGTCCCATGGATGTCTTTCGAAGTCAGCGTCGAGAAATATGTATGCGGAAGAGGCCATGTTTACCCTTCCATGCATTGCTAGAGGTGTAGCTCAATTCCCAGGGACTCAATCGCACAATTGGCCCATATTGCTCATGTAGACGGTGCGCATCAAACACCGTAGTACCCCTCCATCTAGAAAGAATGCGGGGTATAGGAGATGCTCGCCATAAGAACGGACCGGGGTAGTGTCGAAGTGGATGGATGAGAATATTGTACGACAGCCATCCTGCGATGGAGGTAATCTGATCACGATTAGAATTTCTACACCCTCATCGTACGAGTGAAGTAGCTTACTGCTACCGAAAAAATGCGTAGAAAGAGTAGAACAACTGTCATGATGAGATACACAATGCTTGGATGACACAGAGTTGCTCCGAGGGAATCTGTGGTGTGTACAGAAAGACCATGGGCATTTTTTAGCCAGCTTCATTGCTTGTCCGATCAACCAAGGCATGCACTGACCGCTCCTCAAGTGCGATAAGGAATGTCATTTTCCTCGATTGGCATCACGCGACACCTTCTTGCCTTCGGTAGTTTTCTGGATACATACGGTCTTTACTCGGCGTCTCTTCGCAAGCACCGTATGCAACCCTATACTTGATCAAGACAAGTGGAGATGGCTGGTTCCACAGCGTGTTACAATCTAGAGTAGCTCCTAATCTCTATATCGTGGGGGATGTAAGTAGGTCCGTTTCAAAGAATGCTAGGAGTGATGAGTGAGCGAGTCTTGTGTACAATGAATCGCATAGTAGAGTACGTTGTATATAGTTATCACAGGAATCATAGCTCGCGGAACAGTCTATATACCAGCTGGTTCAACATAGCGAATCGTTCGTGATTCCGTAGACAGTTTAGGTATTTTTCGATATGCGCAGCCAGTCTGATCATTTCGCGCCTTCTGTGGCGTTCTTTTGCCCTCAAAGCAAGGCCCCCACAGAGGCGTACCTCGAGCAGCTCCAAAAGTACATTGTTGAAACGCCCCTACTCCTCCCATTTGCAGAAGCCATCACGTCGTTGACAGACACATGGACCATACTTTGTGACGGCCACCCGGACATAGCCAAACTCAAATCGGGCAAGCGACATGTCGTCAGTCTGAAGCGATGGATAACCGACGGAATATCTGGGCCTGTTTCAAGCTCCATGTCCGGTATTCTAGCGTTGCCGCTGTTGGTCGTTATCCAGATCTGCCAGTACTTCCAGTTGCTCGAGTTGCATGGTCTCACGCACGAGCGAATGCTGGCAAGCCTGAAGAAAGGTGGCGGCGCTCAGGGATATTGTGGAGGTCTTCCTACAGCCTTTGCTGTTTCTTGCGCCAAAGACGAGGAGGAGGTGGTCCATCTTGCAACCAAAGCTTTACGACTGGCATTTGCCGTTGGCACATTTGGCGAATTGGGTGACGACGAGTTGGTGGAGGGGGCCACGACCATCGCAGTACGCCTGAGAACTCCTCCGCAAGGAGATGAGCTTGTGGCAGGTATTCCTAGAGTAAGTTGGGATTCTTTTCGTATTCGCTGCAGGGCCTCTCCCCTGTCGGTCTTTGGACTTGTGTCACAGGAACATGACTTCCACCGAAGCAAACAAGCAGCATTTAGCAATTCCATTCCTGTGTAACAGCTACTTACAAAATGCAGTGCTACATTTCGGCGATCACAGACCCAAAAACGATAAGTATCGTAGGCCCTGTGCTAGAGCTCGAGAAGGTGGCAGAAAGAGCTCGTAACCGGGGTTTGCTAGTCACTGATATCCATATCCGTGGCAAAGTGCACAACCCGGAGAACGCGCCTTTGGTCAAAGTGCTGTTTGACATTTGTCAGGAGCATGACGACATGATGCTGCCTGATGCTAGTCAGCTGCGAGTTCCTGTGCGATCGAATTTGGATGGCAGCTTGCTGCATGATTGCTCGCTGACACACGAGGCAATCAACACCATCCTCGCCTCTCGATGCGAGTGGTATCGGCTTTTGAAGGGCGTCGCACAGGACCTAGCGGGAAGTGGTACAGACGCCCATACATTTGC